TAGTACCCATGGCCACGCCATTAGTTTGTTTGTAGTAGTTACCACCGAATGAAAAACAATTGAGTGTGAGTACTAGTTCGGCCAGACGGAGCAGTGTTTCAGAGCTAGGTTCTTTAACAGTGCGTAGATCAAAAAAATGTTTGAGGGCCCGGAGACCTTCGTCATTGGGAATGACAGTGTAAAGAGATGTTATATCCATGGTGAAAATAAGTTTGTTTTGGTCGAGGAAACTAAAGTCACGAAAAATTTCAAGTGCGTGTTGGCTGTCCTTAATATAAGACGGTAGAGTTTTGACGATAGGTGCCATAATTTTGTCTAAATAGCTGGAAATAAGTTCAGTGGGACAACTGCAGGCAGAAACGATGGGTCGACCTGGGTTGTTAGGTTTGTGGATTTTAGGTAAAAAGTAAATACATGAAGTTCTAGGAGTAGTAATGATGAGATTTTTAGCAGTGGCCGGCAATTCTTGTTTAGCTATAAGATCATTAATCGTATTTTTGACAATGTTTTGGTTAATTACAGTGAGGTCTTTGTCGACTTTGGCATAAAAGGAGGTGTCAGAAAGTTGCCGCAAAGCTTCTATTTGATAGAGGTCGGCCCGCCAAACAACAACTGCGCCGCCTTTGTCGGCCGCCTTAATGACAATGTCTTTGCGTTTTTTTAGACTTTTTAGTGCCGACCACTCTTCCGAAGAAAGATTGGAAAATTTGGTGTTACGATTGAATTTAAGTTTGTTGATATCGTGGCGACATTTTTTGAGGAAAAAATCTAAAGATGAGAACTGGCTGTAAATGCGTGACTTTCAAACTTGCGTGACATTTGCGTTACAGTTGGCCTTTGTGCCATTTGATTCCTTTAAATAGTTTTTCTCTCCCGCTTTCATTAATCGCCTGTTCATGTTCGGTGTTCATCTAAAGTTAATTTATAAAGTGTTATTTCAAGCCACCGGCGTATAGGGACTGATATGTAAGTTGTTTTCGCTTTTTTGTTGTTTATCTCGTTTCGAGCAAGCTCTTTCGTCCTTATTTGTATATATATTTTGTGTTTGCCGTAGCATTTGGTTCCTTTATTAGTTCCTTTATTATGTTAGATTCATTTACGCTGTTAAGTCGCCACGTGCTTAATTGAATACAATCTATTATATAAGTCCCTTTTTTAATTCGTTTACAGTTTACGAGATTGATTAAAGTTATGTCCCTGTAATATATCCCCTGGATTTGGTTGGCATTTTTCTCCGGTCACGATTTTCTTGGTATTTCATCGAGCCTTGATGTTCGTTTGCCGCAACACTGGCCCTCTGGGGGAGTCCATTTAGACTTTCGAATCTGGAGTGTTTCGAAAGTATCTTTGTTCGAGGTGTTAGAATCATCCTCTTTGTCATGAAAAAAGGCTTTCAACTGAACGCGGCGAAGGAATTTTTCAACGTCTTGCTTAACTGAAAATTCGTCGGTTTTTGTGCGGGATTTCCCACACTTAGTCAAGGCCCGCGAAATTTATTTCTTTATTTCTTTCTTTCTTTATTTATTTGTCCACGAGAGAGAGAAGTGCTTGTCACGTGGTTTCTATTTGCCTTCAGTGAGCCGTGAAGACTGGATTCCAGTCAGCGTTTTTTCATTGTGTATTGTACGGCGGCCATTTCTCTTCTTAGTCGTTGGGTTTTGGAGAACTTATTCGGAATTTCATATTTGTTTCTTGGGGATTTTCGTTTCCAAGGTAAGGATAAGTCATTTCATATTTTTACGGGTTCTTTGCGTGCTTTAACTTTTCAATTTTGTTGTGGGAGCTTCACGATTAAGCTCTCACGAAAGGCGATTACGTTTGTACACCTGGTTTGTGTTCTTTCTTTCATAATCTGAGGCGTTTGTTTCGTTATTTCTTCAGGTGTCTATAACAGAAGATTTTTTCACGTAAGCCAACACGCTGAAACGCGGTTTGTGTTCAGTGCAGGTTGCACAGGAGCTTTTACGTTTTCACAAGCCAACATTTATCGGCTTGGACCTTCGGTGCGGGTTGTGCCAGATTGAAAGGAGTCATTGTACTCTCGCAAGCCAACATTTGTCGGCTTGAATGTATTCGTGCGGGTTGCGCTTCAAAGAGTCTCAGGGTGTCTCAAAGTGTCTCACGAGTGTCTCAAAATGTCTCACGAGTGTCTCAAAGTGTCGCAAACTGAAAGAAACTATTGTTTGCCTTGAACTGTCAAGAGTGTTATCTATTTTAATAAACTGAGTTTCTAGTTAGTTGGATTGTTGTTGTTGCTCGCTCAAGCACACAAGTAAATATGGGGATCTCCATTGACCAATTCCGTTCAAGGATTGGATCTCATGAAGATTTACATCCTGATTTAAGTGAAAACTATGACCTCTCTGATGATCTCAACATTCCATCAACATCGCTGAATAATGAACCACTGATATTGAATGAATTACCTGATTTTGATTTTCGTCAAATGGTCCAGACACCCGATAAAGAGCAAAAAGAATTTTTTATCACATTTTACATCAGATTAAAACCTCAGAAACCCCTTTCTACTGCTTCCTCAGTGGAGGGGCTGGTGTTGGCAAATCACATTTAACAAAAGATTTGTATCAGGCAGTGCTTAAGTATTATAACACTAGAGCTGGTGATGATTTTCATCAGATCAAAGTTATACTATTAGCTCCAACTGGTAAAGCTTAAGGGTAACACTCTTCATAGCACTCTGGCCATTCCTGCCAATCAATCACTGAGACATTACAAACAGCTTGATTCAAGTAGACTAAACACTGAGAAGTCAATTGATTTTTGTTGATGAAATCTCAATGGTAGGAAATGGTAATGGTAATTTGCAATACAGCTAAACAATAGGCTTAAAGATATAAAAGGCTGTAGAGAGGATTTTGGAGGTGTGAGCATAATTGCTATTGGTGACTTATTCCAATTAGAATCTGTTAAGGATGCTTATATTTTCAAAGACCTCAAAAATGTAGATTTATGCTGTTCTTTCTCCCAGTTTATGGCATAAACACTTTAAAATGTTTGAACTTAATGAAATCATGGGTCAAAAAGACAGCAAATTGTTTGTGGAATTACTTAATAGGTTGCGTAAAGGTAAACACACAGTAGCTGACATTGCAAAACTTAAAGAGAGCTATACAAGAAGACATCAACAACCCAATAGATGCACCTCACTTATTTATACAGAATGCTAAAGTAGATGAATTTAATCAAAGGGCCCATAATGCAGCCACAGGAAACAAATTCACAATAAATGCTCTAGATAGTGTTATTGGAGCTATCTCTCCAGAGCTAAGAAACAAAATACTAAGACCTCTTGCTGAGGGTGAAAGAACACACCTTGTCATGAATGTATGAACTGAAGATGGCATGACAAATGGTGCTGGAAATGTTGTTAAACTAGTTCAGTTACATCAACAAACCAAACCATCTGGTATTGTATGGGTACAATTTGACCACTCAGATGTAGGTCAGAAAACAAGGCATGAAAAAAGACATTTGTATGTACAAGGAATTGAACACACATGGACCCCAGTAAACCCTGTGACTACACAGTTTGCGGTAGGTAGAAACAGAACAGCACAAGTTGTTAGAAAACAATTTCCACTGCGTCCCGCAGCAGCAAAAACAATTCACAGGTCACAAGGTGATACTGACAGTAGAATTGTCGTGGATTTTAGTACCAGAAATACTATTCCACACATACATTATGTGGGACTCAGTAGAGTGACTGCTATAGAAGGCCTATATATTTCTGATTTGTGTGAAAGCAAGATTGCTGTTAATCCAGATGGAGAGATTAAGAACAACTGCAAAACTTAAGCTTTGCATCTCCCCTCTCCATGACATAACATTTTCCCTTCTTAAACTGTGTTATCTTAATGTAAGGTCTCTTCACAAACACATAGAAGATATACGTAAAGAATTAATTTATCTAAGTGCTGATATCAATATTTTCACAGAAACAAGATTTAATTCTCAAGATAATAATGACATGTATGACATTGCTGGTTATGTTCTCTTCCGTAATGATAACCCTAATTCCAGCAATGGATCAAGGTCTTATGGTGGTACAGCTGTGTACAGTAAAATCCCATACTTACCTGGATACCCCTATTGTCACAATATACATGGTGTTGAAATAACAGTAATTAAGTTAGCAAGTCTTTAGGATTGAATAATCATAGGGATATATCACTCCCCAAACGTGCCTGTAAGACAACTTTATGAAGCAATAACTGAGGTATTAAATAACATTTCACCAGACAACAATAACATTACTGGAGACTTTAATATAAATTGGCTTGTTGAAACAGACAGAAGACCTTTGTATAATTTACTACTGAGGGATAACCATTACAAACAGTTCATATCAACTTATACAACTGACAACAACACAGTAATTGATCATATATATACAAATATATCTAACATTGATATACAAGCAGATGTTTTAGCACAGATCATAAAGCTGTTTGGGCCTCATTTCACGGTGTCCTCTAACAAATTACTTTATCATGATGTACATTGTTTTTAAGTTAAGAGAGTAACAAAAGAAAGCAGTAAATAGTTATGAAAAGAGTTGTTTCCCTATTTTCAGAGGAATTTGTCATGAGAAACTCGCAAAACTATTAATAAGGAAATGCTGCTTATTCATTTGGTACCAGAACAGGCCTTTTAAAATTAAGTTTGAAGTCATCTTTCTAAGAGTTGTCCAGTTTAACAACCATTTACAAAAGACAAAAATAAACTACATAACACACAGTCTTGAAATTTCAAGGCAGCTCCTTTAGCATCTTGGCTAATTTCTAACTGCAACCTTTATTGACAACCCTGCATTAAACAATTATTCCACAGTTAAGTTTGCAACCCCTCCTGAAATACTCCAGTATACCAAAAAAAACAACAACAAGCAAACAAACATATTAGTGAAGTGAGCAAACAACCACATGCGTGACTTTCACGTAATCTAAAATTCGTGATTGCAGCATTCCCACGTGCGTAAAGTGCTTGTAACTTATGGGAAACACACGCATGTTACACCAAAAAAACCCGCGTGTAGCAGAAGAGGCCGATTACTCGCAATTTCTCGTAGTTTTGAATTTCCCTTTTGTTTTTTCAGAACACCCATATACCTGTACTTTTTTACACCGATGCGATAGAAATTAATTGGAAAAGCATTCCTTGAAATAGGAAGTCGTCCTGTATTTTCAGCGAAAAAGATCGTCAAGTGATCAAAACAACACCGGCCAGATTATAGTCACGTGCTCGGCAACGACTTCTTAAAAGCGATCCTCTTTCATTCTTACCATCAAAACAGTTACGTTTGCATAGAAGAATAACAAAACGAAACGATTACAACGGAAAGACCCAAATTGGCGTAGAAAGAAATAATGCTGCAAATTACCATTTTTTTATGTCATGGGTACAGGTTTCCGTGGGAATTTCTGTGTCAACAGCTTGCTGTCACTCACAAAGTCTTCGTGATTCTCGCTGGTCCTCGTTATGTTTATCGCATGGATGATTCGAAGACCCTTCAAATTTGGTTTTTAAGTTGATCATAGCACTAATCTGAAACATTTGAAGTCCATTTCAATATAGTAAATGTCGAAACAGGCGTGTAAAGACAATAAATATCGCAACGATCAGTGCAATCATAAGAGCGCCAGGACTTTGGACTTACTTCTTCGGAAGGATAGATCTCGAGTTCGAAGCCGACTAATTACGACTAATTACGAAGAGTCCACGCTAATTTGCATATCGCAGAGCACCCACAAGAACTCGTTTCTACGCTATCGTGTATCCACGAGTTAAACAGTAGTAGCAGAAATTTTTTCAATTTTTTTTCAATGACTGTTACGAAAATATTTACTGCTCCAAGTATTTCCAGTATTGCCGTATAAACAAATAAATAGCCTAAGCCACCAAGAGGTAATTTATTTGTTGAAGACGATTACCAAACGTTCAAAAACACGCCAAAAAGCTTCCAGGGAGGGAGGGAAAGGCATATTGCTTGATAAAAGTATAAGTTAATACCCCAGATCTCTCCTGTGAATCTGTATTTGTTCAAATAATTCCCGCACAAAAATTACTATTCAGGCTGTTGATTCCAGGCCTAATGTCACCCCTGTAGTACAGTTGACTCACGGTGAGCGACAGGTTTGCTTCCGCTCAAAAACCCCTTGCAAACACTTTGTCAATGAAATCCCACACAAGTACGCATTGCGGACCTATTTTTGTGATATGGGAACAAAATTTAAGCCCTTGCTGAGAACTGATTTTTCTGAATCGGAAAGTAGTAAATTTTCTGGAATGGTAACTATAGTTTTGTGGTTTTCAGGCGACGAGTCGATAGTAACTTGAGGGCCGATAAGTTGGTCGAGTTTTTGGGCCTTAATTTGGTGCAAATGTTTAAAAAGTTTAGAATTGGCATCCTGAATTTTGGCACGAATGGATTGTACTAAAACAGCTGGACAGATTTTGGAAAGTTCAGAGCGGCAATGTAGAATTTGTTCGGTGAGTTCAATCAATTAGTTATGTCTGCTAAATAAAGAGCCGTGCAGATCAGCAGGTGATTTTTCAAACAATATACATATTTTAGCCGCCCTCAGCATTAAGCAACTCCCGAAATCACCAAAACTTGCGTGTTCTGAGATCGCGAACCATAATGACCGATTCTGACACAACTACCCTGTTATGATACATTCGTTTTTAATCGATTTTTTCTCAGCTTTGCCGTCCCTTCTCCTTTTAAGGTCCCTAATCCGACGCAAACTCGTCGCCGCATTATTCCTAGAATCTAGACTATATCTAAGTTATTTCCTTCAGGAATCGATGTTATCTGACAAACCGAACCATTCTCCTTTTAATGCTGGTTGCCGATAGTTCTTGCCGTAATTTGTACTCAACATTTTATTCACATCTTTCACGGTCACGAATTGTTTATTGTTGATGGTGACAATGGACGATCCTTCCATCAAGGCTTGACCTGCCTCATAAAAATCTACATAGCCACGTTCTCTCCAATCCTGAGACACTGGCAACATTCCCTTCACTGCTTCTTCCAGATCACTACTGAATAATGTTTTGCCTTCTAAGTCCTCAGGCCCGTCAAAATAAGGGGCTGTATTTACGTCGATGTACGGGGGCACAAGAATATGCCCCCTGGGCATGTTTATGAAAGACCAACCTATATAGTACTGGTTTTCGAGAACCTTTTCAAGAGCAGTATACGTTGAAGCATTTTTATACACAGAGGTCGGTAATGCAATATCTATGTCGTATGTCCACGGTATGATCGCTTTACTCCTGACAGCCCCTAACAAGGTGCCATCAACAATTCGATATTCTAGCCCCAGTTTGTTTAGCCCTCTGACAAAATCGCTTAGCATTTTCCATAAAACAGTGCTGCAACATATTGGTGCAGCTACGCCGGGTAGACCTCGTGGCTCTACATAGGGTTTCTCCGGGCACATCTTCCAGTTTGCGACACAAGCCGTCCATTCTATTCTATTCTCCGTTACGATCCGAAGTACCATATGTTTATTGGCAAAATTTGCATATTCAGGGACCTCCTTTGAGCTTTTCAAATTTCCTCGATCCGTACGCTTGATTTTGGGTGTCCACGCGCAAGAACCAAGCTTTGCAATCTTCAATTCGCCCTTTGATCGTAGAAAAAACTCCAATAAGGATAATTTCCCAAAACCTTCGATTAATCCTCCAATTTTCTGAAACACATCCTCCCTTATTACAAATGGACCATGCACGATATTGCAGGTTTGTACAAGCGCGTCAGTTGTCCCAGTTTCACTGTCGGAGCCAAGCCTGAGAGACTTTTGTAGCGTGAAGTTTTTTACAGGGCCTGTATTCCTAATGTGAACGCTCCACTTTTTTTTCACAAAACGACACCAAGATTGATCCAACATGAAATTGCCAGAAGCTTTCATTTCATGGCCTCCCTGTTGTTGCATACAAGTTGCACCATGAAATTGTGTTCTTGAACGAAGAAAATCACTCAACATCCTTACGGAATGTTTGTCTTTGTCCTCCAATACACGATCAATTTCCTGCTCTTTGGTTGAAAAGGGCAAAATCAACAGATAGGGAGTATTGCTATTCACCGCACTGGAATAAGACAAATCCGAATGAATGACAGCGATTGAATCTCTCCGAGAGAGCAACGCAGTGGAATTAGAAACGTTAGACTTTGCTGAGTAATTAGCAAAAAAAATGCTCGAAATCCTGAGAATTTGCGTTTCCATTTCAGAGTTGTTGCGTTTGACATCTTTTCTCCAGTTGAAGTTAAAACCAACGAAACAGAAATAACAAAGATACGAACACAGTATCAGGAACGGCAGACATAGATGTTTTCGGTTCCATTTCATTGCGCAAGAAGCTCACTTTTTTGGGATCACAAATATTCGATAACAATTATTTTTGTCACAATTTGGTACTATTGATGCAATTTCCCAGCTTTCAACAATTTAAGGCGGCGAGATACGAGATACAAAAACCCTCAACTTGTCACGCAACAAGGGCAAATTTGTTGCATGACAGGTGGTGAGCCAAATTGTTTGGGCTTAAATTTGTTGCCCTGATTAGACTCGCGCCCTACTTTTCGCAACAAATTTCTTCAATCGCGACAAGTTGATCATGCACGGTGAAAAACGGGAAACATCGACCAAAACTTGCAACGAAATAATGTTGCACGACAAGTTGAGGGTTTTTGTACCTCGTATTTTTAGAGCTGTTGGAAACTGTGCGATACGTTAATTATTCTCAATTTGATTGACACTTTTAGAGGATTTCGTTTATATTTACATAACAGAGCAAACCTGTATGCAGCGCATGTTTTATCGTCCCATATATGGCACTGTTCCACATGAATACAACGGAACGTTAAGTGTGTTTCTTTCTAATTAGCTGAGAGTTGTGAGTGGGAGTCAACGGAAGCGTAATGGCAAAATTGTTGAATCAAGCGAATAAATCGTGAGTTTATAAGGAAGCATGGGCAAACGAATTGCCGAACTTGAGGGCAAAGTGAAGACGTTGAAGAGATATGCCCAAGCTCGTGATCACAAAATTTGATGGAACACTGCAAGATTGGCTTCGTTTTCGAGGACAGTTCGAAAGTGAATTTGATGAATCCAGTGCCCCTGAAGTCACAAAGTTCTCCTATTTGAAGGAATTAGTGAATTTGAAGGTGCGAAATCTCATCGACGGTCTTCCGTTTACGTCTGATGGTCACCAAAAGGCTCAAGATTTACTCACAAGAAGATATGGGGAACCGAGTGGAAACTTACGTTAGGAATATTTTGGAGCTGCCCACCGTGCGCAAGAGAAACGTAAAGGAGATATGTGAATTTTACGAAACACTGCTGTTCAATGTAGAGTCGTTGCGAACATTGAAAAGTTTATCCAAATTGAACACCGCGGTTCGATTTACCTTCGACAAGCTTGACGTGATAAAAACGAACTTGCTATGATAGATAAAAATTGGTGCGAATGGACTTTTGTGGAATTCTTAGAGGCGCTGGAGAAATGGAAGATCAATAATAATAATCCCATTTCAAATGAACCGAAATCAAAGAGCTCAAATACTCGAACCATTGTTTTTTCCGACGTATTTTACTGCTTCTTTTCTTTCGTGACTCTCGAAAGGGAAACCAACGCAGGCGCATACCAGCGGTTTCTCGTATCAAACTAAAATTTACCGGACATGCGCAATAAAATGCCCCTATGCTGACCTTGATGCTATTCCCTTGGTAACCGCCCTATATCCGATTTCTGTTGCGCGGGCTCAATCAACGTTCTTAACGGCCTCTGAAAAAGCGCGCCAAGTAATAGGTTATTGTTGTCTTATTTCGCTCTCAAGAGATTTCAGCGGCCACAACACAGTATCCCCCTAGAATTAACGCATAGAGGTAATTGTCAAAACGTCTTGAATTAACCATAATCAATAATATAATGTGCCAAATAAGCTGCTGGCCAAGTGGAACGCAGACTATAAAGAAGAACAGGTTTGAAACAAAATGGCGGCGAATTCGCGCAAAAAGGGAGCAAAGGATTCCAAACATTCGCTTCAGGAGGCATTAGATGAATGCCACGATCTTCTGTAGAAGATGAAGAAGCCTAAGAAGAAATCGCACTTCAATTTTTTCAGGGATCCTTTGACGGGGAGACGTAAAAGTCACTACCCATACAAGCCACGTTTTCAAGATGAGCATGTTCCATGCACCAGCTCAAATGATGGTAAAAAATGTGGTTATTTATCTTATAAACCCCTTTGTCTTTGTCAAGTTAGAGTTGTATAAACCATTTTTTAACGTATTCTATTCCAAAATATTGAAACTTACTCTTTGGAGAGTAATGACTAACGCTACCATTATTATTTTACCCAAACAAGATATCGATCAGAGTTTATTGGGAGAAGTAGATGATGTAGGACATGAGATGCCATCAACATCTAGTGTCGAGGGTAAGTTTTGTACATCACAAAGTTGTTTTTAATCCAAACACCTACAGAATTTGTCTGGCATTTTATCAATCATATTAAACAGAGTTTAAGCTAATAGTTGAAAATACATGATGATCTTGCCATGTGTTGTAATTCCTTTTTGAAATTCTTATTTAAAATTACTTAGTTAATCCTCTCCCCATGTGCAATGCTAGATTGTTATAGTTAGTGTACTGTTCTAGTATTATGATTGTTAGAAATAAAGTTGGTGTAATCAATTGGCCCATTTTTTCCAAAATGATTTAGTACATGGAAATAAATGGCAATTAATTTTGCAAGTAATTTTGCTTCATAAACTCTAAAACTCATAAACTCTAGTAGCTAAAAATTATTTTTTGTTTAATAGAAGATGACCTTGAAACTGCTATAGCAAGATGTGAGGAGGTCCTTGCCACTTTTCCAAGTACCTCAAGAAATTGGCAGACACGGATGACTAGTTTGACTTCCAGCTGGGACAGTGCCAGGAAGCAATTAATAGAGGCTGTCCTTACCTGTGAGGGCCTTCCATCCCCAGATCGTTGCAGCATTTGCTTGGAAGGGAAAGTCTGTATACGGTGTATTGAGTGCCCAATTCAGTTTATGTGCTCATCATGTGATGAAAAAGTGCACAGCTGTTTGCCTTTTCATGACAGGGACACATATGTGAATGGGTACTTTCATGCCATCCCTCCAACTGTAGGAGTTGATGAAGAAGATTGCACACAAATAATAGGTATATATATGTTGATTATGAATGTAGTTGATGGAGCTTTGAGAAATAAAAGTTTATGCACGGTAATGTGGTGAGATGTACATTTGCATGGATTATGTCTTAGTTTTACTTTGTGTTACAACATCGCAAATGACAGACCTTTTTTATTGTAATTTTGTTTCTTTTCTCTCATCAGCTAAGTCCTTTCCAGTCCCCAATATTCCAGATCATTGTTCAAGTTGTAAAGAGACTGGATTCATAAAACAACTTCCATCTCCTGGGTTCTTAATAATAGTTAATGAAAAAGGTAAATACATAGATGATGTTTTCCTGCTTTAAACTTCCCTGATATAATTTTACCTATTATGAATATATGTGTGTTGTATGGGTTAAATAAAATACATGCACAGTAATATGGCTTGCTTTTTATTTAAATTATCAGTAGAGGCCTTCTGGATATATATCGTTTATTTTATCGTAAGCCAACAAAAACTGAGGATTATGTTACTTATTGTAGTTAGGTCATCAATACTGCAATGCAATAAGAAACTAATGATTATAACTATCAATTGAAAGGCTCAGAGCAAGAACGACCCCTTGATTTTTCGGCCATTTTTGAAAGTGTTCAGAAGTAGTTGAATTTTGGCATGTGGACTTAGTTTTGCTCGATATACACTGTTTTGGTTTTTTTTTCGCTGGTTTGCGCTTCGTTTTCGAGAAATAACTTATGCGAAAAACCTTGAATTTCGTAGCGGCTTTCATTGAATGAAGCCGAAACAAAAGAAGCCTTTTGTTTCATCAAAACAATACAGCCCCCGAGAACTTGCATATTCATAACCAGCTTAAAGAAAGAGCATGTTTTTGGTTTTGAGTTTAAAACACTGTTTAGCAAACGTAAAATATCCTTGAACAAACTCGCGCTACGGCAGAATTGAAGACAAAACCAAAGATACGTTGACATAGTTTCACCTTTATTGTACTTATGGGAAGTCCTTTTAAGAATATTATTGCAGTCATCATGAAGTCTTATTTTTAATTTTCAGGACGATTTGATTTAAACAATACAATAATTCAGTGTTCCAACTGCAAGAGTATAATCCCATCTTGGTCCCTGATGAGTGATGTTGTACAAGCAGGGTATTGGCCTGGGAGTCCCACTGACACCAGTTATGTATTTGACCAGCAATTGTTCAAATTGTGGGATTCTATTCAAAAAAGAATGCCTGGGACATCTGAAAGCTCATTTATTCGGGCACTGGAGGATGTATCAGTGATGAAAGGAAGGGTATGATTTTGCATCTAGTTGTAATTACATGTATACATACCTGTATTTTTTATTTTATGACCAGTGTAGTAATTTTCACACAATCTTAGTTGTCGCCACTTTTTGGATTCTAACATTTCAATGACAATGTGTGGTCCCCCCCCCCCTAAGAAGGGATTTTCCTAAGACCCTTTTCCCTCTGGAAATTCCAATTAATCTTCATACACTTCCTTAAATTTTTTGGCCTTTGAGTACCCCACCACCAGAAATTTTCAATCCCTTCAGTGGGGGGGGGGAGGAGTATGCATATTTTCTGGAACTACACAATGCAATACAATGCATTTTAAAGGTTACATTAGTTGCACTTTATTAAATTATTTGATATAAATGCTTTGTTAAAATTGGCCAAAATAGTTATTGAGAGGTTTAATTAGGTTTTAAACTTGTAGGAATGCGTAGTCTTCAAATTCAGGACAGAATCACCTATGTGGTGTTAAAATAACTGGTTGGATCATGCTGGCTACCTGCTCAGCTGAGTTCATTGCTGTCTTTACCTTCACCTTCACCTTCACCTTCACCTTCACCTCTTGCCAGGCCATCCCCAACCCTTTAATTCTTAAGATTTGTCAACACCTTGTTTCTCTTTAAAAATTTCAATATCTTGTGTTGCAGATGTAAATAAATGTGAGGCAACTAAGAGCTGCCATTACGGTTTATTCACATATTGAGCTAAGAATAAAAGGGTGATGGGTTTTTTTAGGTTGAAGACATTTCACTTAATGTGATGTTACATATATTTACATTTGCACCTGCCCTCACTATGATGTGTTATTATTATTTCTCTTATTTCACACTACTGCTCTACATAGGTAGACATCATTTAAATTATTATATATATTTTTTGCAGGCACCA